GAGGAAAGTTTGTTATGGTTTGGGATGGTAATTGGGGTGTGAAATCAAATGTACATGAACTGTTGAATATAAAACAAATTTCGCTCTGTAAATTTGCACCCAAAAGCACAATAATTTTTTTTAAAAAAATAGTGATTTTCAATTGTCAGAGTCAACATCAACAATGACAAGACATACTGATGGTATGTGCCTTTAATATCATGTGGTGAAAATGGCATTTTACCTCTCTGGTCTTCTTCCCAAAAACCCGTAATTCCAGTCTAATCATGAGAAAAACATCAGACACACATCTAACCAGTACTCCCAAAACTGTCAAAGTCATCACAAGGAAGGTTTGAGAAACTGTCACAGCCTAGAGGAACCTAAGAAATCATGCTGACTAAATGCAATATGGTATATACTGGATGGAATCTTGGAATAGAAAAAGAATATTAGGTAGAAACTAAGAAAATCTGGATGAAGTATGGAATTTAGTTCACTGTACTATATCAATACTGGTTCATTAATTGTAAAAAATGTACCATTAAGATACTAATAATCGGGAAATTGAGTGTGGTGTATATAGAAAGTCTCTGTACTATCTTCTCAATTGTTCTATAAATTTAACTCCGTTCTAAAAATTAAAGTTGATTTTTAAACTGCATTATTTTACTTCCTAGTAGGAGTTCTGGTAGCATAGTGGCTAAAGCACTTGACTGCTAACCAGAAGGCTGGAGGTTCAAACCCACCAGCCACTCCTCGGAAGGAAGATTGGGCAATCCTACTTCCATAGTGATACTCCCTCGGAAACCCAAGGAGGGGTCGCTTTGAGTCAGGGCAGACTCAACAGCATATAACAACAACAAACTTAAGCAAATTACTTAGCCTTTCTGTGGCTCATTTGCCTCATCTATAAAATTAGAATGATAATAGCAACCTAGGAGCTCTGGTAACATAGTGCCTAAGGCACTTGACTGCTAACCAGAAGGCTGGTGGTTCAAACCCACCAGCCACTCCTCAGAAGGAAGGTTGGGCAATCTACTTCTGTAGTGATACCACCTCAGAAAGCCAAGGAGGGGTCACTATGAGTTGGGTCCAACTGGATGGCACATAACAACAATAGCAACCTAGTTAAAAAAATTTTTTGTGAAGATTAAATGAATTAGTATAGTAAAATGCTTAGAACTGTGCCTAGAAGATACAAAGTACCCAGCAAGTATTAGCTATTATAATTTTTTAATATTTATAAAGTGCAGTAACATTTTATGCACAATGATTTAAGAAACTGGAAGTAGTCTGATACATAAAATACTAAAGTCTAACTTTATAAATGAATTATGAACTAATGAATCCCCCAATAGTAAATACATGATTTAAAAAAAAAAAGAAAAAAGATAATGTCAAAAATTATGTAATTTTTGTAATTTCAAAAGCTGGTATTTATACTATAAAGTGTATTTATACTAATTTCAAAGTTGGTAAGTCAAGTGAAGTATAAAGTGTATGTATACTATCAGCACATGGTGGGCCACTTCAGCCTGTAAACTTGCTCGCCATAGTAAGAATATATCCTGAATGAAGGGCTTTAGGAACCCACTGCTCATATGAAAGGAGATGACTCTGTTGGTTAGGTTCTAAAATTCTTCATGTAATAACATTGAATTTGTATTTGAATACCAAGTGACTCAGATGACTCCCATGGAGATAAGTTGGCTAGGTTACAGAACCAAGATCAAAGAGATGAGAAACTTTTATATCACTTGGATGGGTAGCAGTGGAAATTACTGAAAGTCTAAGGCTCAGGCAGGCATTTCCCCTAGATAGAATATAACTGATGAAACATATTACCATCATATGATGCTTCTTATAGTCTGCTTTAAATTGTCCAGATATATTGTGAGTTTTGTGATTCTAAGCACAGCAAAGTGTAAGGATGGCAAAGGACGAGGAAGTGTTTTATTAGGGTGGCTGTTAGACAGAATCGACTCCCCCTAAGCATAACAACAACAATATTGTGATTCTGAGTATGCAAAACCACTCAGTTGTCTTTCCTTTTTGTAACAAATCAAAACTTCAGTCCAAGTTCTGAGAGCTATGTAAATACTATGAGTGCTTAAATAAGAAATCTCAGGATATATCTATTTTCCCTTTATACCTTTAATATTTTAAGATCTCAAGCTAGAATATACTTAAAATGCTTACTATATATTTTACTATTTGAAGATATTATTCAAAAGAATTGCTTCCAAGTTATATACAAAAATTTGATGAATGTCAGTTAATGTCTTGTGACAATAACAGTGATAAGCTTTGATTTGTTTACAAAAGAAGGGCAACTACCAAAAGACTGCTCACTTAATCAAAATGCTAAGGGCAAATAAATGTGTCCTATGACAAGAGATCAAAGACTCTGAGCTAGAGATCTGAAGGAAGATGTGAAAATTAGATATATTTAATCTAGGAAAAAATGGAGAAGTAAAAGTATACACACAAATGACTTTAGATTTTAAGATCTACAATGTCTGGTTTTTTCCTTTTGCGTGAGATGTTAGGATCAAAATTTCAAATCATTGGGAATATTAATTGCCTTCTTACAGCTAAGTATCAGAGAGATTTTATTTCTGAGATAACATTATCTGAGGAATACTTTCGTCACTGCAGATCTGAACCATTTACTCCGATCTTGTTCTTTATTTTTACCCATCTTCCCAATTTGTATTTTCAAAATAACTACATTTATTCTAGGTTTTAAAAATATCCCTTTCTTATTTTTATATTTCCCATAAATAAAAGTATCAATCTTATATTCTTAAAAAATGCACATTTAACAATCTCTGTCAAATAAATAAATAAATAGTAGAACACAGTAGTTTTTATTTCATAATGAATATCCCACCAAGATGATATTTTAGCATGGATACTAAAGAATAAATTAATTTAAATTCAGTGATCACCCTTGGCATGGTGGTTAAGTGCTCAGCTGCAAAATTAAAAGTCAGTGGTTCAAACCCACCAGTGACTCTATGGGAGAAAAATTTGGCAATATGCTTTCATAAAAATTCCTGCCTTGGAAACCCTATGAAACAGTTCTACTCTGCCTAATAGGATAATTATGAGTAGGAATCAACTCCAAGGCATTGGGTTTGGGTTCTAATCATTAGCTATCCAAACTACCTTTGTTGTAAAGAGGTAAGTAATAGTTAGCAATCTCTCCAACATTATACTTGTATATAAATGTTATATCATACATGTGTAATCTCTCCAAGCAGTAAATACATGCTAAGATTTTTGTAACCTATAAATGAAGGAATGTTTTGTTTTTCCTAATTTTAAAAAAGAATGTTAAAACACTCTTGACACATTGTATTGATTTTCAAATGGAAACATGATTACTCTTTGGTGTCTTATATAAGAGATAATCCATGAACCTTTTACTATATAAATTACTCTCTTTATAGTAACACATCTCCAAATAAAACACAAAACAATGAAACCACATTAACTCACTGAACTGCCAATTAAAGTTATTAGTGGCTCCTATTCCCTTAAAATAATGCCATATCATGAACTAATTTTTAAAAATGTTTAAATTAAATACACTATTTACCTATATAAAGATATTCTCCTCTCTTCCTTATACAAATAACTGGTCTACATTATCATTCTAACAACATAGTTCAGAAATCCATGTTCTGAAGGTTAGAAGAGAAAAAAGTGATAAATATCCCCAAGTAAGGGATATCTGAATTATGAACTCATTTTGTCTCAATTTCTTATGATGCCTATATTAAGAATACACTTACAAATGTCAGGTGTTATCAAAACCTTTGAAGAAATTTAAAAAGAAAAAGAAACTAGTAATCAAACTAGATAAATAAGTTACTTATGCCTTCAAATATTTAGAAATATTTTCAAGTGAAGATGAATCAGAAAGTGACTTTCATACTCTAACTCATTACATAATATGTTATAGCAGTTTAATAAGAAAATCCAGTTTTATAGCGACCCTATAGCACAGAACACAACTGCCCCATAGGGTTTCTTCGCAGAAGTAGACTGCCTCATCTTCCTCCCACACAGCAGCTGGTGGGTTCAAATCACCAACCTTTTGGTTAGCAGCTGAATGCTTTTAATCACTGAATCACCAGACCTCCATAGTAGTTTAAATTAATGAGAAAATCTAGTTCAAAGATAAAGCCAGATTCCAAGGGTAAAGATGGATAAAGTCATTAGGAAATTACCAGTCTTTTCTTTTAGTCTCTTCTAACTCATTTCTCCTTCTTCTTGCCCCATTTTCACTATTTGACCACATCTAGCCCCTCTATGTTCCTTTAAACACTTCTGAAGGAATGTCCTTCGTTTACCTAAATAGCACACACTTCAGTGACAGTGAAAGTAACATGAATTAGAAGCTGTCATCTTAGAAGTATATGTTACTGTATTCCCTGAATTAGTGTAGAAAGCTGCAATGTAGACAGGACAAAGAGAAATAACCATAAGAAAAATATTATTGACAATGACAGTGGCATAAAAAAATATTGACAACCAGGATGTGCATCTCCTTGTAAAACCTTTAATTTTCATTAAAATTAAAAGATAACTTTATAATCTGTTGTAAACAAAAATGTCGAATAATTTTATACTACAGAAATGCCTGCCTTCTATAGTTTTGCTATGTTCACAGAAGGTAAATGAATGAGACCAATCTAAGGCAGTGATGCATAAAATTGCTGTTATAAATTATTTTTAAAGCAAAGCCATATCTATATATGGAACACAAGGTATTTCAAGATGAACGCTTTCTGCTGTCTTTATAATTTTACATGATTAGTATTATACCATTTAAAAATATCCTACCTAGCAAGAGTACCACATGTCCATACCAAGATATTTTAAGTGCATATATGGAGATATACATTAATATATACAATCACAGATTTTAAATAAATACTGAACTATTTAAAAACATCATAGAGAATATCCCCCCATATCCCATTTCTAACAGTAAGAAAATAATCAACCTGCATGAACTGGAATCAGATTCATTTTCCTCTTCACTAGTGCCATCATCCACTTCAGGTCTATCCAGCCAATGTGCACCGCCACAATCTTCTGCTGTAAACTCAAATGCAGGGACTTCAGAGGTGGATGCCATTGGCCAAGAAGGTGAATTCTGAAAATCCAGTTGGCTGGACCTTCGGTAACCAATTGAAGCCAAAGGCAATTGTAGGCTACATGGATCTAAAAACTTTCTCCCTCCGTTTGCTCCAGTTTGTCCTCGATTCCAAAATTCTCCCTGCTGGCTGTCAACTGCAGAATTAGGAGATGATGCTTGATGGCCAAACCACCTCCATCTGATTTTCAAAATCTGCTTCACATCAAACTCTTTACGAGAACCAGACATCCTCTGAGAAACCAAGTGATCGTCTAGGCAACGGGCAAAAAGCACTGCACACAGATTTGTGCATCCAACCAAGACAAGAGAAGTATAATGCCCTGCTGTATACAACAAACAGATTTAAAAGAAAATAAATCACATTCACATATATATATCTACATTTACTTTTATACCAATAGATCACATTATATAGAACAAAGGAAAATGAATAAAGATGAAACACAGTGGAACATTCCGTTCAATCAGAGCAAACTCTCATCCACCTATCCTGAAGCAGCCAGACCACTTCCCTCTGCTCTCCTTTCCCATACTGACCATTAGCTCGCAAAAACACTGACAGCATTCATTAAAGTCCTTTCAAATGCAGAACACCACCCCCTTTTCTTAAACCACAAATGACAGAGACAGAAAGCACTATCCCCATGCAGTATCTCCATCTCTACAGCTTACTATATTAACTCTTTTATTGCTGAAACAAGAAATTGATTCTAGAGCATTTTCCTTTGTACTTAGAAATCACTTTAGAACTAAAATGTTTGTTTTCTAAATTAATACTAAAATTCTAAATCACGAAACAATAGTTTTAAAATAGCATTTTTTAGTTAGATGAGTTACAGTGATTTTCAAGCTGTGATCTTTGAATGGGGGATGAGTAGTAGTAAGAAGGTGGGGCTCTCAATTGTCTTCTCCTTCAACCTTTATTCTCTCCCTTCAACCAAAAAAAGAAGTATATCTAATCAATACACTCAGATCCTTGGTGATATTTCATTTGAATAAAGAATAATGAGAAGAATAAAGACAAAGTTTGAAAACTACAAAGGATCAAAATAACGATAGTATTAACTCTTTTTCACATAAACAGCCTTAAGCCACTGCTCAATAATTAATACTGGACCACTTCTATGTAGTATAATATTCAAATTTCCATGACATTACTTAGGAAAAGGAAAGCATGGCTCAAGAAAGATATCAAGGGCTGAGAAGGGACTACAAGTTCCCTATTGTTGTCTACAAGCACCCTATTGGTGCCCTCTGTTGTTAGCAAAACTAAACAATGGTCTGAACTCATTACAGTTAAGGCAAATTGATAAAGCAAATAAAAATCAATCAAATGCAATCAAATTTTAATAATACTAAGTTGTTATTGTGAACAAGGCACAAAACAATGTTTTTAATACAATGTTGCAATATTAAGTTTTGTAATATACAAATACAGAATTTCAGTTTCCAGAGTACTTAATATCTAATACTGTATCAAATAATTTTACTCAAAGGGAATGCCGATATGAGTTGAACATTTACCTCAAGTAGATACATACACTCCTTGGAGAGAACAATCATGGGAGAAAGAAGGGCTGCTTATGCACAGGGAGACAGCTCAGGGGGCAGGAGTGTATGGAGGGATGGACACTGGGAAGAGGTAACTATGGGGAGATAGTGGATGTGGAGCTGTTGCATTGTAAACTGTGGTCAATGACGTGAGATAAAGTATATGTGAACTGCTGTATGGAAAGTGAATTTGCTCTGTAAATCTTCACCCAAATCACAATTAAAAACAAAAAAGAAAACAAAACAAAACAAAACAAAGAGAATGCCAAATTCAGAAGCACAAAAAAAGTGGTTTTGAGGGCTTCCAAAAATATTGTGAACCATGTATGTTAACCTCACTCAGCTCTTCAGGAGAATAAAAATTATACAAAGAAAAAAGAACATGAGATTTTATGGCAAATACTGTGGTACAAAAACCACAGTAACTATAAGAAAGACAAATGGGATATCAGGGTGGTGTGGGCCAGTTTCATTAGGGAAAGAAGGTTTCTAAGAATAAGATGTCATTGACACAGAACGATAATGGATTTTATAAAGCAAGAAAGATATTAATAAAAGCGTGCAGTGAGCATACTGACAAGGAAGGAGGGGGGAAGTATCAGTTTGATCGGCCAGCTAGGCATACCTAATTAATTTTAAGGAGTAGTAAGACATAAAGTTGGATAGGTAAGATGAGATAAAATGCCTTAACAAAGGTGTAAAGACCGGCAGGCAGTATTAAGTGGACTGTTTAATAGGGCAAGATTTTCTCTAGAAAATTACTTTGGCAGCAGTATGCAAGACACACTAGAAAGTGAAAGGCCATTTTCCCCTCTCCTCTCACCTCTGTCAGACTCCTATCAACACCCTTCAAACTCCACTCTATTTATCCAACTTTATGTCTAATTATTTTCCAACAAAGACATACCACTTTATCAGTCACATTGCTTCCTCTTCTTGTAATGATGTTGTGTTTTGATTTCTCTGGTTTTAAAATCCTACTAACTCTTCAAGTACCTTTAGCTCAGATACTTAATCAGTTGCTATTGAGTTGACTCCACCTCAGTGCCACTCCATATATGTCAGAATAGAACTGTGTCCCACAGGACTTTCAACAGCTGGTTTTTTCAGAAGTGGAACACCAGATCTTTCTTTTCAAGGAGCCACTCAGTTAACTTGTACTTTTAACCTTTCTGTTAAGCAGCCAACCACATTAACAGTTTGCACAACCCAGAGACTCCGACCCCTAAAACGGCTTATCCAATTACTCTAGCCCTGTGGTTCTCAACAGAGGTAGTATCAATCCTCCTCCTCTTCTCAGAAGGCTTTTAGAATAGGAGAGGGGGATTTTTAGTTGTTGAAATGTCCAGACTGCTACAGGCACTGAGAAGGCAGGGATCAGAGATGGTAAATATCTTGCAATGCATGGTTCATCCCACACAATGAAGAAAAGTCACTGCAAGAGCTCATGATGATTGTCCCATCACTGTCTTCATTTGAATAAAACAAATATATGTACAAGGCATCACGGGGGACCAAGAGGAAGCACAAATAGATCTTACCTCTATGAAGTTATAAACTTAACACTCTGGCAGAAAAAAGGACAACTCAATGAACATTATAGAAAAGAAAATAAATTTTAATAAGTATGATTTTATATAATTTCAAACTGTATTCAACCTATTAATGTACAAGCACTTACCAGAGAGTCTAGTCACAATGTGCTAGCTCCAATAGACAAGCTCCACATGTCTCACCTAATTTGGTCATGTTCAGAAGGGACCAGTCCCTGGGGAAAGATATCCCTTGGTAAAGTAGAGGGTCAGCTAAAGAGGTGAAGACCCTCAATGAGATGGACTGATGCAGCAGCAATGATGGGTTCAAGCGTAGCAAGGATTGTGAGGATGGTGCAGGATCAGGCAGCATTTCATTTTGTTGTACATTTTGTTGCTATAAGTTGAAGCCAACTCGATGGCACCTAACAAAAACAACAACTCCAATAGTTAAAAACGATTTTAATTGTTGTTTGGTTAACTTATAGAAGCCTGAACTCAACAGTGGCTTTCACCAAATGCCACTACATGCCAGACATTTCTCAGTGAAATATAGAGAAGAAATCCAAAGACTTAATGAGCTATGAGTATTAAAATGTTAAACCAGGCCCCGCCACCAAAAGGGCATAAGGACCCTTTCACCACAGTGTTGAGATATCCTCTGACTAGAGATCTCCTTCTTAATTATAGTGTCTGCCATAAGCAGGCTAGAGATGAAAGTGAGAGATAAGCCATTGCAATAGGCTTTCTGGTTTTAAGGGTACCAGGATCTTAGGTTGATAAAGGCCAAACAGCAGCACTTAACTACTGCTGACATGATGATGGGCTTAGTTACGTATTTGTTGTTGTTATGTGCCCTCGAGTCAGACCCAACTCATAGAAACCCCTCCTTGGGTTTCCGAGGCAGTATCACTACGGAAGTAGATTGCTCAACCTTCCTTCCAGGGAGTGGCTGGTGGGTTTGAACCTCCAGCCTTCTGGTTAGCAGTCAAGTGCCTTAGCCACTGTGCTACCAGAGCTCCCTAGTTACATATATACATACGTAAATACAGTCCTTTACATCACTGGACTCATTATGCCTGTTTTTTTTAATTGACATTTTTGTTAATAATGACATCTTGCTGTATTTGCTGTATATCCTTCTATACCTTTCTTCATGATCATAAAATCACAAATATATATACATATGTAGGAGTTTCTGTTACTGTTTTATAAAACAAACATATTGCAAATATTTTTGGCATTTTGTTTTTCTCACTTAGTCACATACATGAAAATAAAAATTTATTGATGGGCTTTTGGGTTTTCGTTTTGGGGGTTATATTTTTGCTATTAACGTTGAAATAAAACTTCCCTTTAACAAGCTTTATTTCTATGGAATTTATTCCCAGGAATGCAATAGTGGATTGAAGGATATGTGTATTTTTAATTTGAATAGTTTACTTTCTGAAAACTCACATTTTCAAAAGTGAGTGTACTTTCTCATCTATTTTCATAAGCCAAAGAGTCAACAATACATATTACAACTTTTTATTCTTTTGCAGGATGAATAGATGAAAATCTTCATTTGCATTTCACAGATAGCTACTGGGCTTGAGCATATTTTCATAAGTTAATTGGCCATTTTGATTGCTAGTTTTCTGAACTACCAATTTACATCTTTTGTCCATTTTTCTACTGGGATGTTTGTCTCTTCCTTTTCACTACGTAGGAGCTCTGTATACTATCCATGTTACATTTTCACCTGCCTTGTTTTGCAAATATTATTTCTTTTCATACAGATAACAGCCAGTGCCTGTACCTTTTAAAACACCTTAACATTGAAGTTAGACCCACAACCAAAAAGTGTGCAAATCACAAATGAAGCACTCAATGAATTGGGTTCACAATAAAAAGATTTGTTTTTTAATTTGTTCACATTTCACTCTCATCTCACAACATGAACCCAATTATCTAGCCACCACCAGGTTAAGAAACAGAATACCAGTACTCAAGAAGTCTATCTCATGCCCCTTGACAAAGGTAATCATCATTCTTTGCATAAATTACTTTTTATCTGCCTTTGAAGTTCATATACATATATTCTGTTGAAATTAATCTGTACTGTTGTCTGTAGCAGCTGATGGTTTATTTTTATGGCTATACAGTATTCCTTTGAATAAATATATCACCATCAAAATACATTCTGTTTACAGATATTTTAGTTGTTTCTAATTTCAGATATTGCAAATAATGCTGCTATGAACATTATTGTACATGCTGTCTGGTACACACGTATATGCATTCCTGTTGTGTATGTTGTTGTTGTGTGTCAAGGTGATTTTGACTCATGGTGACCCGACATGACAGAGTAGAACTGTCCCTTAGGGTTTTCTACATAGCAATCTTTACAGGATCAAATTGCTAGGGTTTTCTTCTGTGGAGTCACTGGGTGGGTTTGAACTATTAACCTTTTAGTTAGCATCTGAGCACTTAATGTTTGTGCCACTAAGGCTCCTCCTGTTGTGTATTTATGTCCAGAAATAAAAGTGCTGTGTCATAGGATATGCAAATGTTCAATATTGGTTA